CACCAGCTTCTCCCTTCTCCCCCTCCTCCTTCTCCACCAGCTTCTCCCCCTCCTCCTCCTCCACCAGCTTCTCCCCCTCCTCCTTCTCCACCACCTTCTCCCTTCTCCCCCTCCTCCTTATAGTGTGCAGATTAGTGTGCAGATTAGTGTGCACAACCTATCGTAACACAAAGACGAGCTGTCATTGGTCGGGTCGGGGAGGGGCGGGGCTATCTCAAATATTTCGCAGTCGGCAGATATTTAGCGCGACACCGGAACGTACCCTGGGTACGGTCCGGTATACCGGAACGTACCCTGGTACTACTATTAGCTCTAGTAGCCTACTAGCGGCAACTGTACGCGGGCTATAGTACTAGAGCTACCTGGTAACTAGATACAATAATGTAACCCAAACACAGGATAGGGATTCCTATCCTGTGTTTGGGTTACATTATTGTATATACCTGGGCATGGGTGTATGCAGGGGGGGGGGGTCGTGAGGGTCGTACGACCCCCCCTAAATTTTAAAAGGTCCACATTTTTTCGAAAGACATTTTTTTTCGAGGGCCTTTTTACAATCACATAAATGAAAAAGATCAGGTACCAGCAATGAGTCCAAAGACATTGCCAATTGCGTGACGTAAATCTATCCCAATTCCAGCAATTCTGAAACTGAGCCTTTTTTTTAAACAAAATTTTGTTTCATAAAAGAGAGGCAAAGACTGACAAAGACAAAGACAAGACAAGATCAAGACAAGACAAGATAAAGACAAAAAGTTCCAAAAACTCTGTTTTCAACTGAGTCAGACGGTTACGGGTTACGGTTAGACCCCCCTGGTACAAATCCTGTACACGCCCCTGATTGTATTGACATTGTAATCACATCTTGCTGCTATTTCGTTGTGAAAAGGTCCAAAAAATTATGATCACGACCCACCCAAAAAAAATCCTGGATACACCCCTGCTGGTAACTATCGGATATGGTTGGGGTTAGGGTTAGGGTTAGGGAGTAGGCGTAGGCGACTCCCTAGACTCGTTAGTGAAGTAGGCGAGGTACGGTCCGGCATATTAGATAGTACTAAGAGTACATAATAGAGATGTATCATGTCTCTATTATGTACTCTTGATAGTACCAGGGTACGTTCCGGCAGTACCCTGGGGGACATAGACCCTCTCAGCTTCATTACCTGGGTCGGGTTAGGGGACGTGAGGCGCGTCCGCCGACCAATCAGAGGGCCGTACACTGAAGGTGAACAAGGCCGACGGCACGCAGGGCCGTAGGCTGAGCAAATTCCTGGGGGAGGGGGAAGCAGTGCCGGGGGCACTGGCGGATCCAGGATTTCAAGGAGGGGGTGAGAAACAGGTGGGATGTCTGGAGGTCCTGCCACTGAAAATTTTGCAAATGTAGCTCGCAGGAGATGGTATTTGATGCACCTTTGAGTACATGCATGCATAGCCTGTAGGCCTACAATATGGCGCAAAACTTCTACTTCGTTCCTTCCCGTCCTTCCCATTGCCTCCCTTGTCCCCCGCTCAGCCTCTTTTTTCATTTACAGCATCTTAGTTATTTTCTCTGTCGCATTTCCTCAGTCTCCCTCCCCCCTCTCTCTCTCTCTCTCTCTCTCTCTCTCTCTCACTCAGCAAGCTATACGGTGCATACTGTGCAGTTTTCTTCAGTCCGTACTGTACACCTGAAACGGTGCTCGCGAATGCGCAATATCTCCCGAGAAGAATCATATTTTTCAAGAATTATGCGTTTCAAATGAAGAGGAGTTATTCTAGCATAGATTTATATAATAACATTTCATCAGTACACCGCGGTTAAGAAATAGCAAGAAGACCTTGCATGAAAGGTCCCGGCTGCACATACCAGTCAGTAGGCAATCTACCTACGTTATTGTGTAAGCGCATGCGCAACATTTCACCAGAGAAGTTATATTTTGTGATGAATTTGAACTTAATATGGTTAGGTGGTATGTCAGCATAGATTTATGTAATAAATTGTTATCAGTAGACATGTGTTTATAATTAGAAGAGCGCCCTAGCCTGTAGGGTGCAAAATTCCTACTTTATCCCCTCGCGTTCTTCTCCTTGCCTCCCTTGTCCCTCGCTCAGCCTCCTCCTTCTACTACCGCCCCTCAACTATCATCCCTGCCGCCTTTCTTCAGTCTCCCACCCCTCTCTCCATCAGCAAGCTATATTATGCAGTTTTCTTCAGTTCCCACTGCACGCCTAAAACGGTGCTCGCGCATGCGCAATATCTCCCGAGAAGAATAATATTTTTCAAGAATTATGCATTTAAAATGAAGAGGAGTTATCCTAGCATAGATTTCTATGATAACATTCCATCAGCACACCTCGCTTAAGAAATAGGAAGAAGACCTTGCATGAAAGGTCACCGCTGCATATACCAGTCAGTACACAATTAAATCTGGCTACGTTATTGTGTAAGCGCCTGCGCAATATCTCACCAGAGGAGTTATATTTTGTGATGAATTTGCACTTAATATGGTTAGGTGGTATGTCAGCATAGATTTATGTAATAAATTGTTATCAGTAGAACTGTGTTTATAATTAGGAGAGCGCCATAGCCTGTATAGGGTGCAAAACTCCTACTTTATCCCGTCGCGTCATTCCCCTTGCCTCCCTAATTGTCCCTCGCCCAGTCTCCTCCTTCTACTACCGCCCCTCAACTATCTTCCCTGCCGCCTTTCCTCAGTCTCCCACTCCTCTCTCCCTCAGCAAGCTATATTATGCAGTTTTCTTCAGTTCCCACTGCACGTCTAAAACGGTGGTCGCGCATGCGCTTATCTCACCAGAGGAGTTATATTTTGTGATGAATTTGCACTTAATATGGTTAGGGGGTAACCTAGCATAAATTTATGGAATAAATTGTTATCAGTAGACATGTGTTTATAATTAGGAGAGCGCCCTAGCCTGTAGGGTGCAAAACTCCTACTTTATCCCTTCGCGTCCTTCTCCTTGCCTCCCGTGTCCCTCACCCAGCCTCCTCCTTCTTCTACCGCCCCTCAGCTATCTTCCATTCCCTCCCGATCTATAATATTCCCTTTGCTCGCAGCATCGCTCACCGGGTTCCGGCTATACTGATGTACATTTCATGAAGATTGCGTTCGTGCGTCGGTTACCGTTGACTGCCAAGATAATTTCATTCGGCCGTTCTCATACGTTCGAACTGGAGAGGGGTGGGCCGTGCCGACGGCACGCGTGCATGATAAAATCCGATCTACAAAATTCAATTTGCTCGCAGCATCCCGCCACGAGTTCCCACCTATGCTAATGTGCATAGCAATGGAGCTCGTGGCATCGGTCGCCGTTGACAGCCAAGATAATTTTCTTCAGCCGACCTCAAACGTTCATACTATCAGGAGTAGATAATAGGGAACTATTATCTACTCCTATTATCTACTCCTGATACTATCTGTCTGCAAAATCTATGTTACGGATACCGACTACAGCGCGCAACGCAGCTGCTATTTCGTTTGTAAACCATTCTTCGTGCGCTGAACGGTAGAAAAAATAATCGCACAGACGGACTTTGACACGAGTCGCTGTCACTGCAACACCAATGGAGGGTTTTGTCAGCTGACGTTAAGGTTGGTCGTTGTCACTGCCGCGTGTCTTCACCTTCAATATTTTATTGCCATATTGCTTCTCTTAATTGATATGCCGTGTCAGAAATTGTTCTCTCTCTCTCTCTCTCTCTCTCTCTCGCTCTCACTCAGCAAGCTATACTTTGCATACTGTGCAGTTTTCTTCAGCCCGTACTGTACACCTGAAACGGTGCTCGCGAATGCGCAATATCTCCCGAGAAGAATGATATTTTTCAAGAATTATGCATTTAAAATGAAGAGGAGTTATCCTAGCATAGATTTATATGATAACATTCCATCAGTACACCTCATCAGTACCATCAGTACAATAGGAAGAAGACCTTGCATGTAAGGTCATCGCTGCATATACCACTCAGTACACAATCTGGCTACGTATATATAATAATAATTGTGTTAGCGCATGCGCAATATCTCACCATAGTTATATTTTGTGATGAATTTGCACTTAATATTGTTAGGGGGTATCTCAGCATAGATTTATGTAATAAATTGTTATCAGTAGAACTGTGTCTATTATTAGGAGAGCAACCTAGCCTGTAGGGTGCAAAGCTCCTACTTCGAGCTTCTTCTCCTACTCCTACTCCTACTTCCTATCCCCTCGCTTCCTTCTCCTTGCCTCCCTTGTCCCTCGCTCAGCCTCCTAGCTCCTTCTTCTACCGCCCCTCATTTATCTTCCCTGCCGCCTTTCTTCAGTCTCCCACCCTTCAGTTCCCACTGCACGCCTAAAACGTACGGTGCTCGCGCATGCGCAATATCTCCCCAGAAGAAGAATATTTTTCAAGAATTATGCATTTAAAATGAAGAGGAGTTATCCTTGCATAGATTTATTATGATAACATTACATAACATAACATAACAGTACACCTGATAGGAAGATGACCTTGCATGTAAAGTCCCGGCTGCATATACCAGTCAGTACACAATCTGGCTACGTTATTGTGTTAACGCATGCGCAATATCTCACCAGAGGAGTTATATTTTCTGATGAATTTGCACTTAATATGGTTAGAGGGGTATCTCAGCATAGATTTATGTAATAAATTGTTATCAGTAGACATCTGTTTATAATTAGGAGAGCGCCCTAGCCTGTAGGGTGCGAAATTCCTACTTTATCCCCTCGCGTCCTTCCCCTTGCCTCCCGTGTCCCTCGCCCAGCCTCCTCCTTCTTTTACCGCCCCTCAGCCAGGGGCGTAAATCCGTACCGAGGAGTGGGGTGGGATGGTCACGCGAAGGGGGGGTCTGGGGAAGGGTCTTTTTTGAAATTAGACCCCCTCAGATGCGTTTTCTGCGCGAGCAGGGAGGGGGTCCGGACCCCCTGGACCCCTCCCCCCCCTGTACACGCCCCTGCAGTAATTGAAATGATTTAGGTCTGCCCATGTCTCCAAATTATCATAATTCCTGGGATGTGGGTGGTGCTGATGTTGGGGGAGGGGCAGCCTGGGATGTGGGTGGTGCTGATGTTGGGGGAGGGGCAGCCTGGGATGTGGGTGGTCCTGATGTTGGTGGTGCTGATGTTGGGGGAGGGGCAGCTTGGGATGCGGGCGGTGTCCATGTTGGTGGTGCTGGAGGTTTCCGGGAAAAACGCATCTGATTTTGGCCTGTGTTCTGTTGGTGCCTATGACACTAAATGAAAAAATAACGTAAATAAGTAAACACCAATAAAACAATCAAAAGTAGATTCAAGAAGTCTAATAAGAAGTCTTAATTAACATTCCAAACTATTTATTCTAAACATCGTTTAGCAACCAATAACCTGAGATATCAGATGATGTCAAATGAAGTTGACGGTAATACACTCATAGACTCCACACAAGTTCACGAATTCATACAAAATTGTACATATTTGATTATAACCAGAGAAGTCTGAACACTGAATCAATATCTGATAAATTTTAAGTATCAGTAATCGTTGCTCCATGTACCTCAACATATTTCACGCTGTTCTAATACCTTGGATTTGCATTTGTTTTCATTTCCGAACACAGAGTTCCAAGCAGTATAACAATAGTCGCCAAGCTGGTTGATCCCACTCCATGTGTGACTGTGACTGCTATAAAAATAACACGAAAGCACAATTTACCTTTTCGCAACATAAGCAGAATGAAATCGTATGAACATGAGACATCCTTGAGATTTATACGACAAATTGTTTAAACTAAATGAAATGCAATTTCATTGTAACAATAAATATGGAATTGTGGTTAGCTAAGATGCATTTCATTTAAGAAATGCGTTTCCATTAGCACCCTAGCCATTATCCACACTTTGCGATGCAGAAAATACGCGCGTTGCTAACAGAACACGACGGATTTCAATACGACTAGGAGAACTGACGTCGCCTCACCTGGAATAGGTGTGATCGTTACTTTCAGAGTGGGTGTTGTTGCCGTTGGCATTTCCCTGAGAGCTGCCGGCCTCCGAAGCATCCCCGTCCATCTCCCCTGCTTCCTCTTCCTCGTCTCCTCCCATGCTCTTTGCCTCGCCGCCATCGCTTCGTACCTCCTCGACGTCAGGCAGGGAGACGACCATCCCGTCGACGGAGACGACAAACTTTCGGTGCTTGGCGTTCGCGGGCTCCTCGGCCCACTCGGTCACCCGGTCGGCCACCAGGCCGTCGCGCGAGACGACAAACTCGTGACGATGCAACCTTAACAGCCATGCCAGATGCTCCTGCTCCGCCACACGCCCCTGCTCTGCCAGACGCTCCGCCTCCCGCCGTGCGTCGTCGAGCCCGTCCTCGTCGTCGCTTGGCGGCGCGCGCTCCGACTCGTCCTCCGCGTGCTCCGACTCGTCCTCCGCGCGCCGCTGCTGCTCCTCCCTCGTGCTCACCTCGACGAGATCGTCGTCGGTGGCGACGAACTCTGGGGCTCGGAAGCTCGGCGCGTGCCTCCTCTTCTTCTGCCTCGCCGCGGACATCCGCGCGACGTTGCTCACCTTCGTGACGACCTCGGACGTCATCGTCGTCGCCGATGGGAAGTCGTTCTTGAACTCGATCAGCACTTCTAATCCCGCGGGAGCCGCGAACCATCCGCCGCCGCTCTCAGTGGAAGCCGTTCCCGCGGCGCCGCAGCTCTCGTCGCGCCCGCTCTCCGCCGACGGCGCCTCCTTAGTTGCAGACTTGTCGTTTTCGACCGACGCGTCGGCATCGCCATCGTCGCCGAAGGATGCTTCCCGCTGTTCGTTACGCGTTTGTTTTTCTTCGGCGGGCGAGCTATCGACCGTCGTTCTTATGTTCGGGTCTTCAGTTACCATGCTGTTCACACCGTCTCCCTTCGATACACCACCTAGTAAAATCATTCGAAAAGCTCGTTCACCTTACTGATGCTGAGAGGGTCTATGTCCCCCAGGGTACTGCCGGAACGTACCCTGGGTACGATCCGGTATACCGGAACGTACCCTGGTACTATCTAATATGCCGGACCGTACCTCGCCTACTCCACTAACGAGTCTAGGGAGTCGCCTACACCTACTCCCTAACCCTAACCATATCAGATAGTTACCAGGGTACGTTCTGGCAGTATCCTGGGGGACATAGACCCTATGAGCCTTAAAAAAAATCATTCAAAAAGCTCGTTTACCTTACTGTTTTTATACAATAAATACATCATTGAACAAGTTGTGGTTGACACACGGTCCTTTCTATCTTGTTGTAGAAGCGATTACTGCGACGCTCACTGTACTGGGTTACAAGTGGAAAAAGGTAAACCTACATACCAATGAAAAATACGAATCTTGTTCGAACAAAAAACTATAATGGAGACCACTTGTTGTTATGAATGATACTTTTTACGGGTACCCACCAGTAGCATTGGATTGGTGGTGTGTCTTGTTAGCAGCAGAGGGGACATCAAAGCATGGAGGAAGCTTGACAACAATAAAATCATTATCTTCACTGCTGAACTCGCTGTCACAGTCCCACTCACGACTGTCAGATGTGTCTCGTGTTTCCTCGTGCCCTTCCTGAGATCTTCCTAATGTAACACTGTCTCCTGAAACTTCAGAGTTAAGATACTATATTGTGTTGCTACTTGGATATTACCAGTTTTCAGTCTCGTAATCTATCAAATAACTTGATGTGTTAACAGGAAATTGAGGTCTCATTCACTAGTTAGTTATTGAGCATTATGCCAACCCGACCTTTTTACGGGCACTGACAGTCCTTAGTGGTTTTCTACATTTCCATTCCTAGAGATGGTAAGTACTGCAATTTCATGTAGGCATCTGAGCCATGGGGGAGTCATAATCACGACACTAATCTAAGAGCCAGGTCTTTACAACTGGACAAGGTTTGAATCCACAGATTACGACAGTGGAACCACTACATCTTTGTGACATAACATTGTATGATCACTTGTTCCCTGCATCGGAGGAGGACATCTACATTTTAAATGACACCCTGACTGCATGATTTTAAGGAACACGCTCAGGATACCTGTATCAGTTTCAGGGTTCTTGATTTTCCCATCCGTGTCCACGCCTCTTGAAGGGGAGCATTTCACTGCCTCGGTTACCACCTTCGTGATGAAGTCTTCAATTTCGGATTTCAAATCCCTCTTGAACTAGTAGTAGTACAAAGTAAAGACAGTGATTCTAGGATAACACACCAATAAATAAATAATAATATTATTAATAAAATCTATTCTGAAATCTAACCATGTATTACTTGCCTGCGTTTCAGGGTAGAAAACTATTCTAGAGCTAGGTAGAAAACAAGTAAGAGGTGGTGACAGTGAGAACGTACCTGCGCCATGTAATTTGTAAACCACTCCGGTGGATGCTGTGGATTTTCACTACCATCGCCATCGCCATCGGATGATTCAATATGGTCGAGTGTTCCTTTGCCAGGTACAGACATTTCAACGCTACCACAGTCCACCACACTCCACAGTACCAGTGGCAGAGTTTAGTAAAACAAGTATATTCAAACTAACTCTAGACTATCGCAAGTAAAAATATGAGCACAGATCGGCAGAAATTAGTCACAGAAACACATAAACACGGCTTGTAAGTTGCATATTAACAGCTGACGACGTTTCTCGACCTCAAGGCCAACAATGTTTGTCAATAAAAATACGACGCTATAGCAGCGCCGCGTTGCACCACGACCCAGTGGTCGGATATTATCGGCATTCTTCGGTAATTTCCGTTTCTATAAGTCGACGCGGCATTTGACACATAAACACAAGATCTATGAATAAAGTCAATAAACCATTGGTAATTGGTAATACCAATTGGTAACCACCAATAAAATTAAAATTACTACCGGTTTCATCACGTCCAGTTATCGATGCTTAGTGCCGATCACAAAACCAGTCATTGTTGTTCATTTGGAGCAGCTCTCCAATGACAAGGGTGAGGTCATTGTTGTGCTTTTCAAGCAGTAGTTTATTCAACTGCCTGCAAAAATGAAAGTCTTACATTACACAACAGACACACTATCGTGGACCAAGCTGCCAAAATCAAACTATAATCGAGTTGCGTCTATTTGTTTACCAATTCCTTCTACGTTTATGTAAGAATTACCACTAAATTGAGTATTGCAGGGCACATTCTTACAGGGCATGGGCTTTGGAGATTTACACATTTTCCACTTTCTTAATGCATCACCCATCATGCTGCACGTGTAGGCAGTTGAATAGCAAGATAGTAGATAGCTGCCACAGTCTTAATTGCTAATCTAGTAATTGCCTTGGAGATAAATGTGTACTGTGTGTCACCAGAGCCTGTCTGGAGGATGACAACATAGGTTTGATCATACGCTACATAATCATCATCGATGTGGTATGTGGTATGGGGACCGCCCAGTAAAGAACCCTCCTAACACTATTGGCACTACCTGTCTGCGAATCCCATTTCACAGAGGATGTCCATATTGTCAACAGGTGATGCTGGTTGGTTCCAGGATGGAGGAGCGGTCCCCGACTGGATCGGGGGTCCTGTCCAAGTTGACTGGGATGTGGGTGGTGTTGATGTTGGGGGAGGGGCAGCCTGGGATGTGGGTGGTGCTGATGTTGGGGGAGGGGCAGCCTGGGATGTGGGTGGTGCTGATGTTGGGGGAGGGGTACGGTAGAAAAAATAATCGCACAGACGGACTTTGACACGAGTCGCTGTCACTGCAACACCAATGGAGGGTTTTGTCAGCTGACGTTAAGGTTGGTCGTTGTCACTGCCGCGTGTCTTCACCTTCAATATTTTATTGCCATATTGCTTCTCTTAATTGATATGCCGTGTCAGAAATTAGTACAGGCGTGGCCGAGACTGGTAAACTAGTGTGTCTATGAGTAGCAGGTGTCTTTCCAGATTTGAGTTACAGAAAATCGCCATAACAGCAATGCACACTGAAACAGAGTAGTATATCTATATAGTTTAATATCAACAGAAAACAAGTGGTCGTTTAAACCATACACATACAAGCTGCATGAATATATATCTACTGTACATCATGCAAAAAATTTACTTGTAAAATTTTACAGTACAAGTTAGACAACTGAATGTGAGGACACAGCACCTTCTGAAATTATATTCAACTATGCTGCTTATCTACAGAAAACTAACATTCATTTATGATCGATCCCGTACTGCATTACCAGAGCATTACAGAAACCTAGTTTTCCTCTTAAATTATTATGTTATCCATACGCTATCTTTATCGCCTACTGAAACTAATACAGTTTGATATGTGCAAGTGCAGGAAATGTGCAGTAAGGCAGAAGCATAGGTTTCATGTTTGCCACTTGCTAATGATACCCAGTTACCGTAAGATGAACTTCTGATTATGAATACAGACAGCAAATTTCAAAGAATCCCGCCAACACTTCGCTGAGTGAAAACCCCAGAGTGCAGTTACCCGAAATACAACGCGACTCGCCACCACAGGAAAAGGCACGACCCCCCTCACAACTATTTGTTGGTCAAACTTGCCCCAACACTAAACACAAGGCAACTAACAAACCGAGGCAAAACTAATCCGTCTTTAGACAAGTTCATAACGAGAGGAGAACAATCCTGCTGTCGATGAATGGATGCTTGCTTATTTCTTGACCTCGGCCATGCGATTGAGGGCACTGCCAGCACGGAACCAACCAATCTGGTGGTCGTTGAAGGAGTGGTTGAGCTGAATGCTATCTTCGCTGCCATCAGCATGCTTCAACACGGCCGTGAGAGGCTGAAGTAACGAGAAATATCAAGCAATTACCTTTACATACATACGTAATGTAGAGGGTACGAAATTTTAGACCGCGGTATAAGCGAGTCTGCATTGTAACGGATTCTTATATTGTAATTAGACAGGGCCATCAAGGGCATGTAAATTGTCTTGAATTTGAGCCAACTCCTTAAAAGCTCCTTGAATTTTAAAATATTCTTTTGGTAAACAGAAAAAAGAGGTGTTAACTATAGTTCCTAGTTAATTGGGGTAACCTCTTTGACAGCATTATAAGCGATTCCGTGTTATATATCGGATCTACAGTGTTTTCAAAGTTAATACAACTTATGACACTCATAATTACCTTTTAACTAACAAATCAACAGTATTGTAAAAATCTAATTTGCAGACATTTTTTTTAACTGGCAGTTACACGGAACCATCCTAATAAAAAAAATATTTACTGTAGAAAATACAAGATGCCACCTGGAGCTCCAGCCAAAAAGCCATTGTGATACGGTCACGAACAGCTATTGCACGAACACATATTGTGTGAGAAATGTCCTACATATACTAGGGCAGAATAGTGTTAAACAATTCAAAAAAACATTCTCAAACATACAAACCTTTCCGGTAGTAAGATCATTCAGGCCGAGCAGAGAGACCCTGTCAGAGGGCTGCGCCTTGTCATAGTCTGCTGCATTGTTAAAGGTCAGTGGAAGCATGCCTTGCTTCTTCAAATTTGTCTCTGAAAGGTAAGCAATTTTTTTATTAAATATAGTGCTCCATCATGATTCTCGTGAGAGCAACAATTTTTTACGTACGGGCATAATCTAATTATTTAGATCGTTGGTGGAAAGTATACAATGCGAATGAATCGCGAGAAAATTTTCCATAATTGTGACACGTAGAAAACCACTACGATTTCCCCACTGTCACAAAAACGCCGCAGAGCCACAGCTTATGCCAGATGGGCACAGATGAGGGATGCACCTACCGTGAATTCGGGCGAAGCTTTTCACGATGATGGCACGGCCCCCGAGGTGGCGAGGCTCGAGTGCGGCATGCTCCCTGCTGCTTCCCTCACCGTAGTTCTCATCACCGATCACACACCACATCACGTTCTCCGCCTAAACATGTTCATATAATTGAGCAACGCTTCTAATATTCGACTTGAATATTACACTTAAAATGCTTATTAAAATTATATGAATGTAATACGAGTGTGATAAATAATAATTGCGTGATTGTAGCGCATCCAGTTTGGCAGGTGCGACATGACTGCAGGTGAGAACACGCAGGTCTTGTCATTACTCTTGGTATTTATTTTTTCACGTGTTCCCTCAACACTGTGTAACGTAAAGCCAAGTGTAACACATGGCTGTAGTGTTCATACAATTCTCAATTTTAGAAAGATTATCAAAACATGTTGTAGTATTTATGAAGACAATAATCTCACATAAATACATTAGCAGTCACGAGGTTTTCGCTGATTGCAAGCGAGACAATTCAGGGTGACAAGGGTGCCATTATACAAAGACTGTAGAAAGCTAGACAAACTCCAAAATGTTAATATCCTCCAATCTACATCTCATAGCACTGGGCAATTATTGCTAGAAATAAACTATTTCATATGGAATGATATATACTATTTTACAACTGATACGAATACGTCTTGTCTATATTTCCCCACCATTGATTACCACCAAGAAGGCAACACAAATGTTAAAATGCGTGATCACTTGCTCTACTTACTTCTTATCATTGATATAATGTCATATGTCAATCACATAACTCACAAACAGATAGACAAAAAGGAACGGAATAGAAAAAGTTTGTTGAATTGATCTTATATGACATTCTTCCAAGTGTAGGATATTTTTCAGAGGATGCTGCCAGTGTACGCTGGCACACTCACCTTATAATGTCTCGCGGTCTCAGGCACAGCTCCCCACTGTCCTGTCAGCTGGTTCTTCACCTTGTTTGCTTCTTCATTCTCAATATTGATAGCACTGCACAGGAATTCAAAAATCATTTGTTAATTATTTACATATCTAATGGATTAAATGCAACTCCAACTGCCTATATATCATTCAAGAAACCTAGCTTTACACAGGCAACATCCGAAAATTTAATTCTTTATTTTATTTTTAAAATTTGTATTATTTTTCTGCAAATCGTTGTTTGCTTAATTAAGAAAGCAATTTAAAGCAAATAAGTGTGCAATAGAATAGAAATACTTCATGCGGCTAACCCAATAAGGCAGTTGTTGGAGATGTTGTCCAGATGACCTCTGTACTTCAGCCAAGGCCCAGCTGCACTGATGTGATCCGTAGTGCATTTACCTTTCGCCTGAAACAAACATTTCAAAGCTCACCTAAAATGTAGCGACGTGCGATTTCGTTCGGGAATTACGAAATGTCAACATAACACACAATGAAACACAGCCTGGTGTAAACAAAAACTACTGAATGAGTGTTTATTTGTTCCATCTCCAATGAACTAAGCATACTAGGTGATCTTACTGTGTGATAATGGGTGATATTAGAGCATCTTACTAGGTGGCTACGGAAAATAACATTCTTTGGATGTGACAAGCGATACCTTTATGAGTATCGGCATGTCAGTAAGGTCCTTTCCGTCAAACTTTTTAAATGGAGCTAACAACTGAAGTCTTTGGCTTTTTGGATCAACGTCGACTGACAGACTGCTGCCGTCCCCTGGTGGTGCCTGGTACGTATCCTGACCTGGATCGAATCCTGCAAATGCCACAGAATAAAGAAGTTGATTATATATATATATATATATATACATAACTCACAAACAGATAGAAAAGAAGGAATTCATTCATTTTATCATGATCATTAATCTTCAACCTTGGACTTTCCTATACAATGCTGTACATATATAACACACAAGCTCACACACGCACATGGACAAGCACACACGCACACGGACAAGCACACACGCACACGGACAAGCACGAAGTCCAACGTGCCCTAACCGGACAAGCACAACCCTGCAACACGCGCCGGAAGGACACGCGCACGCCGGACAGCTACAGTGCCGTGACACCGCAGCACGGACAAGCACCAACGACAGTCAACATGGACAAAACACATCGTCGTGTAAGTTGGGACATCTTGCCTCCAGTGACGTGGTGATTTGGCATCTATCGAGCGAGAGGAGCGAGAGATCAGGTCGAGCTAGCGAGTAGTCGAGAACAGGGCATCATAGAGACAAACACACGACGGCACAGGTGAGGTGTGAGAGGGGCGGGTTCACGAATGCATCTACACTCAAGTATGGGGATGACGGGTTGGACAGCAGTCACACACCATACCTTACCGAGCGGACAAGGCCACATACACGCACAGATGGTACCGATAGCGCTACCGCCGTGTAGTAACGATGTGCAGCACTAGAGACAGGAAGCAGCACACGGGGAAAGCATCCCTAGTGGATTGGGGTGAGGTAGGTATGGGAAGGAGATTTTAGAATTTTGAAGGATGGTTGCCGGGGCGTTGAATTTTTGTCTTGCGGTGACTGATTTTTATGGCCTTTATTGCAAGGGATGATCTTTCCTGCTGCTGGAGAGTGTGTGGTTTTTTGTTCCAGGAGGGTTAACTTGGATTTTTGACTGTCTGTTTACGACAGACTTTGACTGCGGTTTCGCTTAGCAATATATGCCTGGTGTATCGGTCTGTCACGACGGCTGAATTTCAGTTTTGGTTGACGTGTATGTTGTTTCGTATATTTGTTGTATTCGTACTGTCCAGTATGTTACTGTGTATCGTGAGTGGCTGCCGTGCGTGCCCTGTGTTGGTGGCAGTTTTTTGCTGCGTTAATTGGTTACGACAGGTAACGCTTCTTGCTTTGCAGTGTAGCTTGCGGTAGTATGATGAGTGCCTTATTTCGGTCTTGATAGCTTTTGCCCGTCAGAATGTGAATGAGGGTTTATCTTTAGTCTGCCGATTAGTCGGGATTGTCGTGACCTTTATAGATAAATTCCTTTGCAGTGTTTTCGCTGAATTATTGCTCGTGGGATTCACTGTTTCCGGCGTGCTATGTGACATTTGGGACTACAAGGAAATTTATAGAATACTGCGGACAAGCACGGCCACCAGAGTCAGCACGGAGGTAGACCGGTTATGAGGCTGTCGCTTCGCGCATTGTTTACATTTTATGGACGGAGTCAATGATTTTCTACTATTGTGTACATGGTGCCATTGGCCTAGACGCTTGGTCTTTGCGAGGTGGTCTGGCTATGCCTTGAGTGGTTGGCAGTCGGACAGTGGGCTGGCGCATGTCAACAGCGCAACCAGCGAGCAGAGACGACAGCCACAGCATCCCACGATCATTGACGAATGGCAACACACACACTAACGGGACAAGCACACGAACTACGATACGGATTACGAGTAGTACCAAAGTTGGGGGGCGGTCTGGGTTGTACTAATCTTCGACTTATGACAGTCGATGGGTTAGCAGCAGGAAAATATCTCGAGTAGAGCTGCCGTAGCGGCGGTACCTCGAACTCAGATTTGACCGCCACAGCTGCGTAGCATCGTTAGACGACATATACACAGATTCTCTGTGTCGTGCTCGCATTCCAGCTCCTGCATTAGTTTGCGATTATGGTAATTTGGTGCTCAAGCTAATTATGTGATCCATTGTTTCTATCATATGTATGTTGTCTTTCCCAGTTTCCTCATTACTTGCATTCTTGTCATGCCGAATGTTGTATATATCATACTATTATATTAACTAACTAACTTGTCTGGTGTATTTAGTATTATTGAATCATACTATTATAAACTTTTATTATATTCGTCAACCGACTTGCGCGTGTATATCATATATCGTCTCTCCCACTACTAATATCCATAATTCATATTATGAATTCGCCGATTTTGAGTGGTGTTGTGTGCTGAATGGGCGTGACGTCGGGACGTCGTGTCTCTCGAGGCAGCACCGCGGCAGCTCGCTCGGCGCCGTCGTGGTTCTGGCGGCCACGTCGCCCGGCATCGAGACCTCGTGGCCCCAACCCGGCCTGGACACGTCCATCTGGCTGCCGGCGACCTTTGGCTTCAACCGCTTCTGAGAGGACGTGCTTCTCTCTGTCCGTCGCTGCCGGTCAGCTCGTCCTTCTCAGGGTTGAAGCAAAGGTCGCCGGCGATGACGAGGGCCGTGACGAGCTCCGGCGACGTGACGAACGCGTGCGTTGCCGGGTTAGCGTCGTTACGACCTGTAGACGCACCCATCCACACACACCCTCAGTAATCTTATCATATATATATATATATGTATATGTATATATATACACGCAATGTGACGATATGTATAATAAATATTTTATATAATATTGGTATATCAGAGTTATACTATATATTACACTTACATAGTGGTTATATAATTATGTATATGTATATACACACATTTGCATTTGACATATGAATGCAGATGTAAGAAACTGGATGAATCAACATTACTTATTTTTTTTATAAAACATTATACATGTTACTAGCACAATATATACCATAATCGGCATATTAGCTGAATGCGAGCAGTCACGACACTAAATTTTTGTTCGTAAATGCTGAGGTTCGAGGTTTACGTCTACTACGATTTTCCTTTAGGACCAGTGCGACTGTCAAGTGGAAATATTTTGACTAACCCACGAAGTTACGATTGTAGGATGTCACAATAGTGTTCTTCTCCCCTTTCTTGACATCCTGCCTATCCCACTGTCCGATGCAGGGACCACAAGCATTAGCCAGCACCATGCCTCCAAAGTCACCCAAGGTCTTAGCCTAATGCACCCATAGACAGGAAATAAGACATTAGGCAGTAGAAATAAACAAGTGCCGCGGAGCGACAGCGCTCATCTAACGTCTACTGCGGTTGACTCTGTGGTGGAGTGGTGGGATTCTAGTAAATCCTGTTAGTCCCAAATGTGTTCACATACACGCCCGAAACAGTGGAATGCACAGGGATGGTATCAGGAACATTCTCAAAGGAATGTTTTGTTGGGATCGTTTATGAAAGTTGCACGAAGATGGCGCGTACGTTTAAGTGTCTTCAGATTAAAGATGGAAGCCCTCATCGTACATAGTAGCAAACAACTATTTGCAAGACAGAATAGTAAGCACTCATCCATTTACCTACGCAAGCCTACAGGCTGCGAAATTGGCAATAGAGAGCTGCTACCTGTAACCAATTAACGCAGGCAAAAACTGCACCAACAACATGCACTGGCAGCAGCCACTGGCAGTGGCATACGTTACATGTAACATACTGACAGTACAGAATGACATAGAAATTATACATTTAAGGAACATACACCTTCTTTAAGCCAAATTTAGCTTTTGAAATTTCACTGTGACATTGTAGCCTCATACATCCAGGCATGTATAGATTCTACTAGCAAACCGCGGCAGTCAAATTCTTTCTAAACAGACAGTCAACAATCCAAGTTTAACCCTCCTCTTGAGGGTCAAAAGGTTAATCCGACACTTACTCTTCGCATGTCAGCAGAAGGGACATTTCATGGTCCTTTCAATAAAGCCATAAAATGCTAGGTCACCGCTGAAACAAAAAAGTTTTTCAATCGCTCCGTCAGACCATGTCCTCAGAAAATGTCTAAAATCTGCCCTGTGCCCATTGACCTTTGACGTGCTGTGACCTCCAATTTCGGCACAGTGATGGCTTTTCCTACATGATGCTATACACCGACTATCACGAGCCTAGGTCGAGCCGTTTAGATTTGTGCCGCAATTCTGCATTTCCTCCCTATACCTTAAGTTAAGGAGTGAATGTTCCCCCTTCTTTTACACCTCTTGACCTTTGACCTTTGACCCCCAGCTTCGACATCCCAACTCGTTTTGACGATCCCCCCGATGTGCCGAATATCGTGACCGTACGTCGAGCGGTTAAGATTGTGCCCAACTGTTGACGGACGGACAGGACGGAGCGGAAGACGGACGATCAAGCGATTCTACAAGCTGCATCTGACTATGTCAGATGAGCTAAACAGAACATCTTGAATACTCGGGCAATGACTGTTGGCCCGCCATTAACGTGTGGTGGATTCCTCGCAATGTCTGGCCGCGTCAGGGAGTATATTAGTCTGGTAGCTTAGTGCATTTGTGCAATTTCCGGAAACAAGCATGAAATTTGACATATACACATGGCTATGCTAAATTATCTTCTTCTACAGACACATCAACAGCACTATTGGTGGCCGGTACCGCTATCTGGTGGAAGTAGCTTTTTACCTTGCTTATGCATTCTATTAGACTTAGATGGACATGACATCGGATGAACTAGAATTTCTGTATACTGTTATGTCAACTTCTATGTGCCAAATTCCGTGCTTGTTTTTCAAAAACGCACAAACATTACAATTTCGAGAGCTATAGGCTACCGGACTGCAAACGCGCGTGCGTCACCAGCACTTAGCCAGCGCGTCGCAGTGACCGCGTCACTCACGATGCCGTCTCTCTCGATGGTCGCTCGGATCTGCTCCGAGCCGGGCGTGATCGTGAACAAGCTCTTCGCCTTGATGCCGTGACTCATCGCCTGCTTGGCGATGGCCGCCGCGCGCGTCATGTCCTCGTAGCTACTGTTCGTGCAGCTGCCGATCAAACCTGCACGCACACAAACCACGACAGTACAGCGCCCTGGTCGACAGTGACACACGTCACCTACCTAGTACACGAGAGCAATGCACGGAACATGTCGACACGTGCGTGTGTGTAGATGTCGATAATTGCATCTTCACAGAAGCTGCCATTCTGCAGACGCCCGAGAACATTTCGGCAATACAATAATGAGATCGTGAGCGTTCCAAAATAAAAGATCTAATCACGCCAGGATAAAATCGATGACTGCAAGGATTAAGAGCAATTTCTTAACACATAGATAGTAAAGCATCTTACAGAAATTCTAATAATCACTAGCAACAGCCAACCTACCAACTTTAATCTCAGTCGGCCAGCCTTGCTTGACTGCTGTTGCGCCGAGGCTGGAGATGGGGTGAGCAAGGTCGGGCGTGAACGGACCATTGACATGGGGCTCCAGCTTCAAAGACAAGTACACACATGTATCATGTTATGCTTCAATACATTACGAGTACATGCACACATGTTATGCCTACGTATTAAAAGCACGTGTACATGCTCATCCACTCACTGAATTTAAACCAGACTACACGACATGCTTATGACACACTCAGTGTGGTCATAACATCACCAAAATGATTCATAAAGCCGTTTGCATCCATGGAGTGAGAAATGTCATAGCTCACTGATAAGGATAAGTACTATTACAACACATAGTAAAATATACAGCTAAGACTATAACATTAGTACTATAATTATTGCGACAACGGCGCCGAGAAGAAGATGTATCTGATGCTAACACCTAGGGACCATTATCAGGAACATGACACACAGTTACGAATATCGCAAGTCTAAAACGTCGCAACTGTTGCAAGACATTTCACTCTAAAGGTTATGACTTTTTAAAAGTCGCGATTTCATCGACCTTTCCATGTTTCCAACAACGCCCTCCGCCCCTGTGGAAAACAACCGATTTCCGTACACCTGCACTGGCTATAGCCGCACACCTGCACCGGCTACCTGCCAGGTAAAGCTCGTTACCGTGCTCAGGTCGATCTCGATGACCTGGTCGTACTGCGCTCCGTCGTCGGATTGCAGAAGGTCCTTGTTGTCGTCGGCGGCCTGCGCGACATCCGAGCGACCGGTCGCCGCCAGGTAGCTGTGCATGCGGTGGTTGAACGGAAACACGGACGTCGTCGCTCCGATCTCCGCTCCCATGTTGCAGATCGTACCCATGCCTGCCCGACAACAGAACAATTTCTCATATAAATATTTACGTATGAAAATAAATAGATAAATATCAATAGCATATATTCAAAATAAATAAATATATATTATATATTTATTATATATATATATTAGTTTTTTTTTTTTTAATTTTCGATGTCTGCAAAATGGTGCCACCTCTATGGTAGCAATTATATGGGATGTGTCGAAACGCATTGAGGTGAGAACTGGCACCAGCACAGCAGCAACTCTGCACGGCCTCATCGCACACACTATGAATCGTACACGCACGCACACATGCACATGCACACGCACACGCACACGCACACGCACACACACACTGTGAGCAGAATGCTGTGTATTTGGTCTGAAACAAACCGAAGGGTACTTTTTCTGCACAGCCCGTCGCCGAGCTTTATTGGCACAAAAGCCGGATGGGAATTGGGACGAGAGTGATCGTATTTTCTGACGAACCTCGCCCACGTCAAGACGTTCGAATGAAGTTCGATCGATATCGATACACGCGATATCGATTGATACGCGAGGCGTGGCCTTCCCACCAGCATACCTGTGCAGGAGATCGAGTCTACGCCGGGTCCGAAGTATTCCACGATGGCTCCGGTTCCTCCCTTCACGGTGAGAATGCCGGCGACCTTGAGGATGATGTCCTTGGGTGACGTCCAGCCACTGATAGTACCGGTCAGCTTCACTCCTATCACCTGCAAATATTGTCACATGCTATTACTGTCACTCGGCTATGTGTGGCGAAGCTGTACCATTGACACAAAAGCATTTTGAGTGAAATACGGTAAAATTGTTTAGAAAGTAAACACTCATACATTCTTACACTTGCGCATTTATAGAAAAGAATCCATTGATAATCACATGCATTACTGCTATAAAAACGTCTCAGACGATTTGGGTCTGTCAAGACCCGCTAATCTTTTTCACATTCTGGACCAGTGTTGGAAATAGCAGCCTATCCTCCAGTCTGAGACTGGTAACTTTTAAGCAAAACTGACTCATTTTCATAGATTTTACTGTTGATTAGATAATAGAAATCAAAACTTTCGAAATAAGGCCTTGCTGGGTTTTCACACTTATTTCAAAGACTGCATCAATTTCATGAATGACTCATGTCAGAGCAGTCTTTGAAATAAGTGTGAAAACCAAGCAAGTCCTTATTTCGAAAGTTTTGACTATTATTTTTAATAATTTATTTTATGTTATTTTTTTATTTTATTATTAAGTTTTTCTTTATTTTTCATTAAAGTTTTGCATCAATTTCACGAACGACTCATGTGAGAGCAAAGCAGTTCACGTATGTGCGACGCCATCACTATGATCGCGTGACGACGAAGGCCGCTACGCACCTTCGGGCATTTCAGTTCCCACGGAATATCCGCCATCACGTCGACTGCGTCGGCTCCACCCACGCCTATACACAGACCACCCAATCCACCTGCGCAAGACACAAATAGATCGTGTTCACAGTCTGTAGTAGCTACGTCTCAGACAGACGTAATCGAGTGCGGCCAGATTGTATTCTATAACATATGTCACACCAACTTCTACTGAATGGGATTCTACATTGACAGCCACTTATCTGCCCGTGGCAAAATAGGGTCTACGGTAGATAGGTAGGTAGTACCAGCTAGTACGTCAGACTACATTACATACACTAGACTGCGTATTCAGAACGTTACGATTGCAGGCCACTCTGAGGTTACACAGCCAGCCATGATTATTTTTTGACTTAGTATTGTAAATAGATTTCTTATCTATCTGGAAATTAATCTTTGAGAGACAATAATTAATGTAATGCTATGCATACCCCCATTTGGTGTGTGACTATCAGTTCCGATGATTAGAAGTCCTGGGTAGGCATAATTTTCCAGGATGATCTAGAAATACATCATCTAGAAGTCATCTCTATAGTCACTTACCGTATATGATCGCGTAATAACCGCGGGCGCTATAAGCCGCACCTCAATTTGAATCGGGTAACCAAGTATTGCGCCTAGTATATTTCCCCTCACGGTATGGCGCACTTATAAACCGCAGAGCAAATACAGGGTTGAAATATGAGGCCAAAATTGGCGATTATTACGCGAGTATATATACGGTATTTGCTAATCATCAACATCAACCACACATAAAGAGCGCTTCCATACTGATAAGCTGAAGTTACACGATACCTAAAGCTAATGTTACCTGGTGTATGATTCCACTGCCTGGTTTCCAAAATCCTACTCCATATTTGGAGCCTGCTGTAGCTAGGAAGTTGTACACCTCTTTATTCACATCCTTAAATCACGAATTTGCATGTCAGAGATTTTATGTATTAAAGACATATATAACAATTTTCCTTAAATCATTTTCATTCATGTTACACAAATTTAACGTAATAAACGTAATACAAATACGTCCAATTAAAATTTTATTCTGTCGCAGCTCCATGAACTAGTATTTTTATCCTGCTGTATATATACTCATGGCAGCTGCTGCATACACGATATTACATGCTCTCAAACATTTAGACAACTCTATATGGATGTTCTAAGCCAAACACATTGATGCATTAATGGAAACTTTACGTAATTTACGTATCTGGAGCCCGTTGTCAGAAACAAAATTTGTCTTAACATTAACCTTAAGATTGACATTTCCTCATAGTCCGGACCTGCGTACGCTGCGTGTGAGAAACTCGTAACTTAACCGTGTTTCTGTCAACAGTCTATGAGAAAAAGCTCATGTTAAGACTAATGTTAAGACTAACTTTGTTTCTGAGATAAACGGGTCCCTGAATCTCACCTTAGCTCTAGTCAGATCTTTGTCTCCCCCCAGCTGGGCCTCAATCAGATGATCACAGTGAATAGTGGAAGGCACGGCTACTTTCTTCAGTCCACTACTGATGAACTGCAGCATGGCCATCTGCAGAAAAATACTGTACTGTGTAACACCATCTCAAAGGCACTAATGTGCTGCACCACGTCTAAAATGTTGATCTCCTATGAGGCTATGACATAAGGAAACACGGCTAAGGCACACATGATATTCCGGCAATGAATATGACACATATATATTAGCGGGATACCCGGCGATACCATATTGTATTTATATATATAAAGTTGTTCAGCCGAATTAGTCCGTACTCGCATAACTAGATAACTCCGCAGCCTAGAGGAAAAGTAAAGATATTATCAGAATCAGCACATCTGGGAGGTGGTTCTGGCTGAAACAAAAATTTAAAATAGTTAAAAAGTTAAAAATTGATAAATATTCTATTCAGCAATATTTAAATTTTTGTTTCAGCCACAACCCCCAGATGTGCTGATTCTGAAAATATATTTAGTTTTCCTCTAGGCTGCGGAGTTCTCTAGTTATGTGAGTACAGACTAATTCAGCTGAACAACTTTATATAATAGATACATATTTATTTATAACATATATCGCAACCAAACTGTCACCAGTCCTTCCACTCCACACAAAAGCATATTTGAATTTCAAGTAGAATTTCAATTGAGCACACCATACAAGCTTCCTCATTGTCAGATATTATCAACTGGGAAATTCTACGAAATCATTTTAAAATACATGTGAACACTGTTGAAAGTTAGAAATAATATGAATAGAGCTTTTAATACACTGACTGAGCATCAATCTTTACTCCTCATTTATGCGAGTACCGAGTTCATAGTAGTAAGACACATGTTGAAATAAGATCGACTTATAAGACCCTTTCTGGAGGCCAAAATAAATTTTTTTTATGCGATTTCTGATAGATCACCGACTAGTAAAGTACACTAATAATATTTATATACACAACTGCACAGCAGATTTAATTATTCCGTATTATATATACAACAATTCTTACTCTAAGTCAAGAACAGTTTATAAAACAATGTTGAAAAATGGTCCTTTGGCAAAAAATAAGGACTATTAAGTACTTTTCTAAGATTTCACCAAAAATAAGTACTAATAAGGGCCCTTATTTTATTTTCGGCAAAATAAGTACTTATAAGACTTTGGAAGACCCGCTACGAACCCTGGAATAGCGACTGTGCCTGGGTAGAAGTAAGTACCTGCGCTGTAGCATCTTGCATAGCAACTCTGTCTGGTCTCAGTCTCAAGTAGCTTTCCCCTCGTACTACATCCTGAAATGTGAAGCATATATACATTCCGTAAGTACTTCACGCAAGCAATTAAAAATAAAAGTGTCAATGACACTGTAGCTCACCTTGGTGTGATAGATGAGGGAGGGGGGATATATAAAGCAAGAGTATATATATGGGAGGACTCCCATTATATAGCATATCTCCAATTATATACTCCTGATAATGATATATGCATAAGTTTTGATGCGAAAATAAAACGTCCTATTACGTTTATTTCATCTAACTGGTCAACAACTCTACAATCATACCTATATATACGTGTAATATTGTGTTTTAGATTCTTCGTTACAGTAATTTGACTGGAATATTTTAGTTTTTATTTGCGCGATATTCGAAAACCAAAATGGCGATCATTTAGGCGTAGCGCCATCTCTCGTCAAGATTTCAGACTTTCAGATTTTCATCTCTCCCATAGGAGTAACAACTGTTTTGGGGCTAGCCTTACACATTCACATACTAAAATTTAACAAAATCGAATGAATTTAGATGACCATTTTAATTTCTGCCAAAAGTGGGCGTGGCTCAAAAGTAGGTCGACTGGCGTGCTCCAAACTAGGAAGTTCAAATCTCTCCCATAGGAGTAACAACTGTATTCAATTTGAAACATGTGGGTCAAACGGTTCTTGAGTTAT